TGTTTTCTGAGGTTCTCGCGGGTATTTATATGTAGATCTTTGGTTGTTCGGGTTTTCTCCCGCGTAAGATTTGAAGTATCTAGGCAACGTTTCGATGAAGTCTCATTCATCATCTTCAGGCTTCTGTCTCCAGCTCTGTGCTTCTCAGAGTAATGGAGATTGCAGCTGCTTCCTCCTTTTAACTGCCAGTGGGGGTGGAACTTGATTGGGTGGGGGCTTGGCTGTGTTCTGATTGGGTGGGGGTGTGTTCTCATTGGTAGGGGGTTTGGCTGTGTTCTGATTGGTTGGGGGGTTAGCCGTGTTCTGATTGGTTGGAGGCGTGTTCTGTTCAGGAGGGGGCTTGGTTGTGCTCAGGTTAGTTTTAGTTGCTGGGGGATTTGAGCTAGAGAGTTGTGATCTTGCTGTTTGGCTTCTAGTTCGTGGTCCTGCTGCATCTTCATAGTGGGTGTTGGTTTGCTTCATGTATGGCTCAGAGGGGTTTGAAGTGGGTAGTGATGCAGCTGCAGTGCAGCTTCTGGTCCATGGTCGTTTCTCAGCCAAGCCCCCACCCAATCAAGTTCCACCCCCACTGGCAGTTAAAAGGAGGAAGCAGCTGCAATCTCCATTACTCTGAGAAGCACAGAGCTGGAGACAGAAGCCTGAAGATGATGAATGAGACTTCATCGAAACGTTGCCTAGATACTTCAAATCTTACGCGGGAGAAAACCCGAACAACCAAAGATCTACATATAAATACCCGCGAGAACCTCAGAAAACAAATATATATATATATATATATATTCTTAAGTTTTCGCGGGTACTTACATGTATGGCATTCAGCTTTGTTTGGGTATTTTCCCACATCATTGTAGCTGTGCTTTTAAAGTTGTAGCAACGTTTTGGCAGAATCTCATCTGCCATCATCAGGCTTCTGGAAGTCTGATGATGGCAGATGAGATTCTGCCGAAACGTTGCTACAACTTTAAAAGCACAGCTACAATGACGTGGGAAAATACCCGAACAAAGCTGAATATCATACATACATACATACATACATACATACATAGCCATTTGGGTTTTTTGACCATAAATATAATTATGTGTGTATGTGAGTCAATTATATAGTCTTTCTTATATTAGAAGTTGTTAATTTAAGTTTCAAGGATAATAAAATATTTTAGCTTAAGCAAGAGTTTGGGAAACACTGGGTTCATACATTATGCTAAGACATAATGTTGTTTATATGTTTACAGTTTATAATGAAGTGCAATCCAGCCAGTGCCATTTATAAACCATGGCTTAGTGATATATTGTGGCCTATTCAGTAAATCGAAATTGAGCTTAAGGCAAGTCAAGTGAGGCTTAACAATAAGATATAAATTTCAGATGTGTATTCCACCTTTTCTCTTGGAGAAAAATCAATGTAAAAGTGCTCATTAGATTTACATTCTGACATATTTTTAGCCAGTGCAAGCAGCATAATTATCACTCCCTTCTCAAACACTTCCTACAACAATCTTGTAGAGTAGACTGGGTGGAAATAAATTAACTGGCCCCAAATCACCTAATAAGATGTTTATAATTAATTGATTAACTGTATATGCCACCCAACTCCCAGTGACTCTGGGTGGCATGCAGATTGTTGGAAAAACATTAAAACAAGAAAAGACTGCAGTGATAAATCCAGATGGGAACAAAGGAAAAGAACAAGATTTAAATCATGCTTGCAAAGAGTCTTCAGCACCCTTTAAAACAGCAGCAGGGTGGGGGGGCATTTGAATATTGGGGGGAAACCTCATTCCAGAAGATAGGCACTGTCATAGAGAGGACAGAATTACATTTCTTAATCTACGGAACTCAAGAGTGTGCCAACCTGCCAAATCAGATCAGCAGGGCAGATGTTATGGAAATAGGCAGTCCCCCAAGAAACCGGATTCTATGGCTGGAAATGGATTTAAATCTAGATTTCTCCACTCCTTGTCCAACACTATAACCCAAGGATTTTCAAACTCCGTGGAATCAATTTTTTTTAAAAAAAATCCCAGAAACCCCCCCACCACCACCACCACCACCAAGCATGAGGCCAAGTTCTAACAACAGAAAATTGGCTACATTGAAGTCAATGTTTGCTATCACACTCTAACAGGGCTGTCCAGTAATGCTGGGTTTGGAGGAAGTAATCTAGCCTGGATTAACTACTACAAAGAGTACTCTATAATATACTCTACTCCAAAAGTGAGCAACAAGGAATATAAATTCTGGTTGATTTCTGTACTTTAGGCAAGTAAGCAAGTATTGAAAGATCCTTTTTTTGTAAGGAGAATTTGTATGGCTAACATTGGATGGGAAAAAAGGCAGGGATTGAGCCATAACTATAATAAATAATACTCCATGCATTCCATTTATCATCTCATATTTTCATCCCTTCCCCTTGAAGTATCACTGCTATATTAAGCATTATAAATACTACTGCCCTCCAGGTATTACGTATTATGGTATTGTGTGGTCTTTTGATGTTTTGTCACTTTGAATGACTGTGAAACTTTATTCCAAAACTGTATTTTTTATTTTTATTTCTAAAAAACTGACTAGTTTCACACATTCCAAATGAGTTGGCTAGATTTACCGGATAAATAGCACTTGGCTAAGTTTGTAAAACACAGTAAGATCAAGCCAAACAAATTTCATTACATATTGTAAAAGGTTTAAGGCACTATATGAACTTAGCAAAGTAGTTTAGTTTACTTTATTGTCATTGCACCTCATATAATGAAATTAAATACCATCTTCACTGTATATTATGACTATGAAAATAAAAACACACATCCTTCACATTCTATACATTGAATTGAAAACCCCTGATATTGCATTAATATTGCACTATACATTAGAATTCAATAGAGTTAGTGCCCTGGGATAGAAGCTGTTTTTCAGCCTATTTGTCCTTGTTTTTATTATCCTGTACCGTCTTGCCAGATGGTAATAGTTCAAAAAAAGGGTTCCCAGGATGAGATGGATCTTTGAGAATGTTTTGAACTTTTTTAAGACAGCAGGAGCTATAAAGCCCTTCCAAAGAGGGGAGAGGACAATCAATGATCTTCTGGGCAATGATGTTAAACCTCTGGAGTGCTTTCCTATCTGCCACTGTACAATTGGCAAACCATAAAGAGGTGCAGTAAGTTAAGATACTCTCTATGGTGCAGCAGTAGAAGGTCACCAGCAGTTTTTCATTCAGTTGTTATTTTCTGAGAAGTCTCAGGTAATCTCTGCTGGGCCCTTTTGACCAGGGCTGCAATGTGAGCACCCCAGGTCAGGTTGTCTTATATGGTAACACCCAGAAACTTAACTGCTCCATTTGATCTCCATTGATAACCAAGGGCTGGATGTCTGAACTATTCCTTCTGTAATCCACTATAAGCTCCTCGGTCTTATTAGTGTTGACGTCCAAGTTATTGTCTCCACACCACTAAAGCAATCAGTCCAGGTCATCTTGGTAGGCAGATTTATCCATCCCCCAGCTGAGTCCCACCACTGTTGTATCATCTGCAAATTTAGTAATAGTATTACTAACGTGGGTGGGAATTGCAGTCATGCACCTAATGAGTATAGAGTAAGGGACTCAACACACAACCCTGTAGTTTATTCCTATTAATGTTAAAATCTTGTATGAATTTTGAATGAACGAATTGTTTTCCCCTTTCCCATCATTTTTTTGTATGTTACTTTAAAAAAAAAGTTAGTACATTTTATCCAATGCAAATCGTTTTGAGATTTTTAACAATGAGAAGCGATGTAAAAATATTACACTGAATTATCTGCGATTTATTCCTACACTGCCTACTTAACCCCAGTAAGGCGGGTCTGCGTGTCTCTCCTCCAGAGTAAGACCCATTGAGTTCAGGGCTAGGTAAACGCACCTAGGTCGGCAACCTCCAAACGCCAAAGCAGCACCGGGTGAACTGAGGAAGCAAAGAAAAGGGGCGCGTTGGTAAACCGGGAGGCGTGAGGCAAGTGGGCGAGAGCTTCCTGAAGGATGCTTTGTGAAGTCTGTACGTTGGCGCGGGAGGCTGCCGTTTGTTATTATTTATTTTAAAAAATTGAATGGAAACAAGGAGAGGAGCATGCCGGGCGGTAGGACCCCGCGGGCGTTCCGGGGAAGAGACAGAGAGAGTGTGTGCGCGAGTGAGTCAAAGAAGGGAAAGGAAGGGAAGCTGGAGGAACTGGGAACGGCAGCAGCTACGCGCTCCAAGCCCACAACGCCCAGCTTGCCTCGTTTCTCTCTTTCAAAGGGAGCCTGGATAGAGAACAGGAGCCCGAGCGCCTTCGGCCGCTGGCAACCTTTCTGGCCTCCATTCATTACCGATGCAGGCGAAGAGCTCCATGGGCTGATTCCCTGGGAGACCAGCGGTACCAGCAGCAAGGCGGAGGCGCCTGCAACAGCTCGCCTAGGCCTCGGCTCCGGCCAGCGGCTTTCATTGCAACCCTTCCAGGCCATGTAAGTGAGCCGTCGCGCCGTTCCCAGGTTAGAGATGGGGAGGAAGCAGCTATGGGGCCTGCTCTGCCTTTCGGCTGCCCTTGCTGGCTCATTGTCTGGAGCGCCCGGCCGGGCTCCGCTGCACCTCTTTCTGCTTTCCCGCTGCGTCTGGGGAAGCTGCTGGTTTGGCAAATGGCTCGTTGTAAAAAGTGACTCTCTTTCTCGCTCAGAGGCCTGGCCGGATTCAATTTCTTTATTCTTCCCCCCCGTTCTCCACATCCCCCCACCCACCTTTTAGTGCATTGCAGTGGCGGCGGCTGTGCTGGTGCTGGTGCTTGCTGCAGCTGCAGCTGGGCGCCAGGCTTTGGGAACGGGTTGCACCCGAAAAGGGAGGAAAAACGGCGAGGGGTCTCTCGGTGGGCGCGTGCGATAAGTCCTTTTGCCCCCGCACCCCCCCCCCGGCGCCCTGCTTGGGTCCTCTCCGTTTGTTTTCTTTTCCATCTCCCTTTTTCGCCGGGACCGGGCAGTTGACTCTGGGGACAATTTTGACCCAAGTCGGAGGGAAGAGAGGAACTGAAAAGAATTTCCGTAGCGGGGTCTGCCTTTGCAAGAGAATCGGAAGCAAAGAATTGTTGCTCCGCTGGCTCCCCTCCCCTTTTCTCTGCGGTGTTTGTTTACCTCTGGCTTCCCCATTTGCTGGCCACAGCTGTTTGAGCAGGAAAGAGACAGGATCTCGTTCGTCTTCCTTCTTTACTTCCTAGGTAGCCGAGTCTCTGCCTGCGCAGCAGCGAAGAAGGAGGGAGCTTTAAGGGAGCATCCAATATTTCTTTTCCTTCCCCCCGCCATTCAGCACTAGAAAAACCCAACGGCTCTCCCTGCGCCATCCCCTTGGGTTTGATTCGTTGATCCTAGCTTGGGAAAAGACACGCGGTGGGTTCACACGTTATGTTTCTAAGATGCATATACCCAGACAACGTGAATGAGGCAAAGCCGCATGTCATGCTAGGAGGACGCATGTCGTGCTAGGAGGACACATGTTGGATAGCTGGAATGGTCCTGTCTCCTCATGTGGAGTGTGTTCAGTTGCTTGCCAAAGCCTGTGGCCCTGTGTAAAATCCCCCCCCCAGAAAGTGAAATAACCAAGTATCCTTTGTTTAAAGTTTGATCAATTTACTTTTTAAAATAAAGAGGGTTTTTTGGAAGCCAAATTCTTCAGTGAACACTGTGTGTGTATCTTGGACAGAACGTTAGAATTCATGGTTTTAATGTCCTGAAAATGCCCCATTGATTTGAACAGTATTCATGAAGTCATACAGATCATATAGTCTCTGCATTACAACATGTTCAGACTGTAAAGGTTCATAAACATGAGTAGTAACTGCGCAGGAGGATATTTGTATGGGCGACTAACCGTCTATTGTTGGCTAATATATGCTCACCTCTTCATATATCCTTTTATGCATCATGTGAACCTAAAGCAAGTAACCTAAACCAACCACCAATGAAATGTTCAGGAGCTGGAATTTGAAATGGAGGTTAGCTGTTGATTGCAAATTCCAGTTCCTGCCATTTTTGGCACGTGTGTGTAAATGGCAGAGAACAGTATGAACCTATACAGAAATAGTCCAGCCATACAAATACATCCAGTTTTCTTGCTGTGAACAATCTTGATAATTTAAAGATATGTTTTTGTGATGATAGAGGTAAGAGCTGAAAGGACTGTCCAGGGAGCAACCTGTGGTTCCAGTGACTGCTGGCAGATGGGTAATAGTAATGCCAAGAAAAACTGCTTCTGCCTATGTCCTCCTCTTCTTTAATATGAGAACCATTGGTGGTTCATAGATTGCGCTGAGCCATGGTTTGTTTAGCCTTGGTTTATTGCGCACATCATAATTGGCTGGATTCACACTGTATAACTTCCCCAAGCCTAAACAATAGATGTGCAACTTCTGTAAGCTGAAAGATGATTTAACTTTGCATGCCATGTTAAGAATTGCATCCAAAAAGAGGTGGGTCCCCTTTTGGAAGGGATGTAGGAATTTTAAAGCTTAATATTGATATCAGAAGCATCTGCCACATTTAGAGCATCTATTTGCTCCTTAATGCTCTCTAAAATCCTCCCCAAAAGGAAAACAAACATGGCTTGGCTATTGCCCTTTTTGTACTCCTGCCCTAAAGCAGGGTATGTAAACAAAGTGGCTGGGTGCATCATGTTATGAACCAAAGCCAGATCAACCATATGTCGTGTTATCATTTTGTGTGAACCTAGCCTGGTATTAAAACTAGGATCAAGAAAATCAGGATTCGGGTTCTTTCTGGAGAGTTCTTTGTATGATACCAGTTATTTTTTCAGTTTTGTTTCTTCTTTTTCTGTCTATCTGAGTACATACTAGAAAGTAAACAGTAACTTTCAGGGAGGAAGAATTTCAATGTGAGGACAGAATCCAGTTGCAGTGAAATTTTGGTTTGTATAATTCATTCACCTTTGTCTTTGCTGTGAATATACCCCCAAAACAAGTTTCCTTTTATACCATAAATTATGGGTCTTTTTCCCCCAAGGCTGTCCAGGTTAATTATCACCACTATATTTGTTTACAGGTAAATGAACTTCAAAAGTTCCAACTGAACTATTGACTTTTGATTCATAGCCACAATATTTTCATTTAGTTATCTTGGACCAATGGAGTTATTAATGTTTTAAAACCTTTGTGCCAGAAATGATGGCTGTTGAGGGAGATATTACCAGAGATAATATGTACTAGTATAGGAAAGACTCCATGAAATGAACCTGGAAACCAAAATCAATCAAAATATTTCTGATTTACCTATATCAAATTTATATTCTGCTTTACTTCAGGGTGTTCAAAATAGTTTCCTTAAGATTTGTTTTTCATTTATTCTTGCAACAGTTCTTAGTGGTAGATCAGGAAAAAAAAAGTATCACAAGGTGAATTTTTGCCAAGGACAAAGTGAACCACAGGTTATCTGACACATGAATCAAATCCACCTAGGGTAAAGAAAAACTCTGCATGGTACCATAATAAACTAGCACATACTTAAGATTTTGTGCTTGAACAACAAATGTGTAGTAACAACCCAAGGTAATGGACAAATTGCTTTTTTTCTTTTATTATGTGGAGAACTTGCTTTAAAAATTCAGTGCATTGACCCTTGACTTTCTCTTTTCTGTATTTTCAAGTTGTATAAGATGTTATCATGTCCAACAAAATAAATTGGTAGGATTTTAATGGAACATTTCTACATGCTAAGTGTGATTCAAGTCCCCTGCACAAAAGATTGGTTTATTTTACAATATGCATGGGAACTATCAGTAAACTGACAGGGTTTTACTTTTGCATTCCCCAAATGGTGTATAATAGGGAAGTCCCTGCACATTTCAAACTTTTCCTGGGCATCATACAAAGTTGCACATAGTCTTCGTCTTTGGAAATAATCTGTTCATTGATATAGCGTAATAGCACATGGTATATTTGTGGAAGGTATCAGGTTAAATTTCTTGCATCCCAAATAAAAAATCCAAATAGGCAAATTGGAGTTGATGGTGACCAGTATAACAAGTGATTAAGGAATAGGTTTGGAGCAGGAAGCATGACTTTAGGCCAGTCTCTCCATTAGATGCTAAGCAACAGAAATTCCTAGGTTCAATCTTAACAAATTTAGAGCAGGCTGAGAAGATGAAACCCTGTAAAGTTTATGTCTGTCTACTCTTTGGTTGATGGACCAGTGGTCCAAATCTGAAATTTGAGGTTGCAGGATGGCACATTAGTTTCTGAAAAATTGCCCTATATACACTATCTGCAGTGCCTCCAGACTGTCATTGCAGCGCTGGCACAATGTTGTAAGTGGTTATGTACAAGAAGTACCTTTGCAGTGCTTGGTAGTTTGCAAATTTCTAGAGGTGCAAGTTACTCTGACTCTATGTAAATGTGTGATAATATTAATGAAGTCAGAATATGCAGTCTGTATTCCTGGGTCTAAAGCTGCTTTATTGATTCATTCATTCTGTATGACCTCCCATCTCACTTAAGTGGCATTGGATGGCTTATAACAGTTGACCATTTTGCTTTACTTAAAAGTTATGGCTTCATCATATCTGTTTCCTTGGTATGATCATGTCTAATCTAAAATACAGTATTTATTGTGAAGTTGCTCTCTTCTTCCCTTTTTTTCCATCGTTTCATGAGGAGTTATCCTAAAAAGTCTGACTTGCAGTGGGATGCAATAATGAAGGGTTAAAATTGTCATGCCAAATAACACAGATTTGTGTGCAACATAACATATACATTTCTTTAAACAATCCTACTTGTGTTAAAATGGCACAAATACTTTTCCAGATGCAGAGATGGGGTGGGGGTGGGGGTTTCATAGGACTGTATTTAAAAAAAATACTTGCAGTCTGAAATGGCGAGTACAAGATCGTGCCAGCTTCTGTTATCACAATTTCTGTAAAATGGATCGGTTTAAATGTCAAATTTTAAACGCAACTATAGCCAAATATTTCTAATTCAGGAACAGTTTTGTTTGCACATTTCAGTTAGCTTGCTGAAGCCATATATGTGCAGTAATGATTAACTGTATTCTGAATTGTCATTGCAATATGTAAGCTGTTCTTCTGATTTTAGCTTTGGATATGGAATTGATAGGGATGTCTGATTCTCTGGATTTTGATATATCCTTTAGTTGCTGATTTTAAATATGGGTTATAGCTTGGCAGAAAGAACAGTTGAATTTAAGATATGGGATTTGTAGTTTTCATTATTTATCCTTACTTACTTTCATTACTTATCCATTCTCTGTACCCTTAATAATTCACAAATCAGAAGTCAGTTTAGTTTACTAAAGGTTGTCGGTCCAGAAGCAGGGACAATGTTTATATCTGGTTTGGTGAGGGTTTACATGGGAGTTTTTAATCTTAGCAGTCAGGTGGGTAGGTTTAATTGAGAAAGAATAAACTCTAGAGAGGTGGAGATTTAAATCAAAGTATCCTTGATATACAGTAC